ATATATTTTAGAATATAAGAAAGGATTTTTAAATAAAGATTCTAAACTTATCGCCTTCAAGATAGTCTAAATCAAATAATGTTGATATGTTGTCAAAACTGTATAATTATGACAAGTTTTAATGTTATTTGTCTCAAAGATATTACTCATTATAATAGATTAATATTATTTATTATATATCAATTGTATATTACTGATATATAAGATAGTATATTATAATTTTATCAAATTTGTTAGTAATATAAAAAAATATATTACCTCATCGCGAGAGAGAAAGAGAGAAAGAGAGAGAGAGAGATTTTTTTCAACTCTGCATTTGCACATACGTCCATATAAAAATAATATATATGATAATATATTTAAACAAACATCACTTGCGATTGATTATGTAGCCATACTGTGCTAAAATTATTATGCGTTCAATAACGACAATAAATGTAATTAATAAATGTATTTAATAAGAACGAACTATTTTTTTTATAATTGATAGTTTTTATCATAAAATTATATTTTCTTCAATAAAGTGTTTTTCAAAAGCAGTTTTGTAAATTTACAGACATCGAGAAACAATACAGCATAGCAAATATATAACAATTGCTATTTGATAACATGTAAGAGATAATACATATTGCTTTCGATAGTTTCCTTTCGAATACCTCTTGAAATTCCGTATATCTCACTTGCCGCATGTATTTGTAGCCTTTTATAGAATAAAATCCCGTACAACACAAAAGTTTAAAAGATGTCCTGTAAAAGTCTTTAGATATTTGCATTTTGTACATTTTTTAGCACAAAGTCCTGTGTGTTTAAAAAAAAAAAAAATTTATGTCTCCGGCACAAACCTATGCAACGCGCTGGTCAAAACTAGCAAGGAACTTTGAAGACCCTGCGGAAAATGTCTTTGTAGCCAAGAACCTTTATATTGCTCTATGTGAGCCAACATTTTGTTCGCTATGTCGGTTCTGAAAGTGGGCGGCAAATTACATACTCCTAGATTGATAACAGCAAGTCCCATATTGCTATTCGGATTCACGCCGACTCCAATCAATGTTCGACCAATTTTACAAGCCGTCAGCATCAGATCGGATGTCAATTGTAATTCCTGTATTTCCATTGACGCAAACTTGGAAGATAAATTTGCCTCGTACAAGGAATGAGATATTCGTTTGATTTGCTTTGTCATTTTCTATAAATAAATAATAACAAATAATAAATAATTCAAAATATTTGAGTATATATTAAGATACATTTTGAAGATTTAAATCTACAAATACAGAGATATACTTACAGCGAAGAGATCGGCTGAGAGATATTCCAAATTCACGTTATCTGGATCGGTCAGTAATCTGTACAAAGTGGAACCGCGATTATCTGGTATCTGTTGTAAGTCCTTGACCGCTTGATTTTTACTCAATGTTAACACCAACGTGTCTAGACGCCCCAATTCTAATATCGCATTACCGATTTTATACTCCGAATCTTGAAACACGTGTATGTCCAATAATTTCGTGATACATCTTTCCCTATAAAATAATTTTACTAAATACAGTGAACATGAAGCTTATCTAATGTACAATGTGGATTATAAATTTTATATGATGATTGTTACCTGACTGACGCAGCTAATTCAGGAATATCATAATTATCATCAGGTCCTAAATCTATTTCTGTCGTTGGATTCCAAGCTAACCCAGCTGCTATTAAATAACCAATCCATGCGAAAGGATGTGGTGTAAGATGATGACTACCAGACCAATGTGCAACAACGACACCAATTGAGTTTTGCTCCAGAGAGGTTCTTATCGCGTTTCTTGTGTTGGCATATGTCGATGCTGGACATCCTGCTAAACTATTATAACCAGCTGTGCCAGAACTTGGTAAAACATTACCGCCCGCTACTCTGAATGGTTCTGTCCATTCGGAGAAATCATAATCAGCCTGCAATAGCCAAAAATATATAATAAATAGATATAAATTTCACTGAAATGATTATCTTTGCAAGTATATTATCAAAAATTATGAAAAGAAGTTTAGTATTACCTGAAATCCATATTCAACAAATATGATATTAGTAGGAACATTGTGAAACTCAGATTTGGAATGAAAACTATTGGAACATAAAAGCAGAGTTGTGTTTGAGCTCAAGTTGAGGATATGCCAGAGTTCTTGAAGGCACGTGTAAGATTTGAATACTTCCGACATGTCCGTTTCCAGAGTGTCATTGACGGATACGCTCAAGTCAAAACTATCAGCTTGCACTAATAAGGTAGTTAATCGCGGACCTACATGAACATAATTTAAACTAGGGAATACTGCAAGCAAGTCTTGAAAGATAGGCCACATATGCATCAAGTGATGTTGGCCAACATTGGAATCTACGTCCAACGTTGGAACTATCTCTAGATGGCGATCTCTGAAAAAATTAATATTATAATTATATAATTATAATTATAATATTATTTTCAAATATTATATAAGATAAAAATCTATCTTCATTTAAAATATTGATTATATAACAAATAAAGAGATACACAGCTATAATTATCAAAAAGAAATTAAGATAATAAAAGAGCGGTAATACAAATAATGCTTCATAGAAAATCTCATGTTTTATTTGAATTATAAATGTACCTGCAATATCTGTCTAGAGTCACCATCTCAGACTTTGAATAGCAAAGTTGCCAATCACAATTTTGTACGAGTCTAGAGTAGAGATGTAAATGCGAGATTTTAAATGACGAGAGTAGATCAATAATGTGTAAAAGATATTCTAAGGTCGGTACTCGTCCTCTAGGCGAAATATCCAGCAATATACCACGATGCGCGAATCGTGGCTCATCTTTTATAAAAACAGGCTCTATTTCGCACACTTCCGATCTACTCTGATTCTTACTCAAACGTAGAATCTGCACGAATGTGCAAACCGCGTAATGAAGTCCTGCTAGGCTTCCAGCGTTCACTTTGATAGAATTATGTGTAATGTGTAATTGATAGCTATCCGCAATGTTAAATAAATTTTTATTCACGACGCATTCTATCATGTTATCGTTGAGCAACTTGCCGCAACTGGGTTGTACCTCTCCAATTTTTACATCATGACCCAATTCCAGTAGATGAGTTCTGCTAATTTCCCACACGTCTAATATTTTATGCACAGATTCAGTGCCCTAAAAATAATTTTCATGCTCAGTGAAAAATTATAAATAAAATCGAGAGAATAGTTTAAAGATTCAGATTTTTGAAGGAAAATTTGAAGAAAGGAATATTAACACGTATCTACCTGGATTATTGATATAAAAAGCTCTTTTCCAGCGATAAATGGGCCCGTAAAATTTTTCAATTCGTTTACAGTTTTTGGTTGTGGCCATAGCAAGTTATAGATACTCCCTTTATCAGTGATAGATTTGTTAGGGCTCTCTTTGCTTGCATCGCGCAAAGGCACATCATATGTCGGATCCGTGGATTTGTTAGATTCGACTGACAATTGGCTCATATTGCATGAGAGACTTTTCTGACAATAATTTGTATCTGGATATGACATAGTGGGACTGTGTATTGTCTCGTTTTCGTTCATCATGAAATTCGATATAAATCTTTGAAGGAAACAATGTAAGGATTGTTTTTTCCTCGATAATTCGTATGGTGTTTTTCCTGCAAACGTTCTGAAAAAAGAATATATTTTCCTTTGAATTCCTATGTTTGTATACATAAGAAGAATATATTCGTCTAATTGATCGCTTACCCTTTAGTAGCTCGTACAAGAGGATTTGCACCAGCCTGCAAGAGCTCCTGGCAGATAGCAATGTCGCCACGATTTACCGCATCGTGCAATGGTGTTGCACCACAGCCATTTTCGGCATTTACATCGGCTCCTTTATCTATATAAAGGTTTTAATATGATAAAATGTTATCTTTAGATATCAACGATTGCATCTGTTTATATATTACCAAGTAAACACGCAATAATATCTTTGTTCCCATAACATGCTGCCCAATGCAATGGTGTGTTCTTACTACCCTGTGAATCCCACGAATTAACATCTAATCCTGCATCTAGTAGCTGCACTACTCTATCTACTCTAAAAAAGATATATATCCATTATTTTATGATACTGATTAAGACAATTATATATAATATTTTTTGCAATTGAAAAAAAATTATTGAAATATTACATACTCAGAAGCAGCTGTCGCCCTCAACAATTCCTCTATATAAATACGTCGTATTGCATCACTCGAGGCAACATCGACTGCATTATGTCCATTTGCATTCTGTACAGCTGGATCAGCACCACAATTCAAAAGTGTTCTCACAATATCCGCCTGATTAGTCTAAATACAAAAGATATAATCTATATATCTATATAAAAAAATTTGAAGAGAATCATGCTAGGAATATAACCAGAGAAATATATTGCAAACCTTTGAGGCATATGATAAAAAGGTTCCTTCTTCCAAGACCGGTTGGTTTAGTATCTTGTCTCTTGTGATGCCTTCCGTGGCATTACCGTTTTCACCTAGGGCACAGAAAAGTCGATGATGTAAACAGTGAAAAAGTAAGAATCGATCTGTTTTCGATATCAACATATCAAAGATTCGTGTGATGTTTGGAGCGAGAAGAAAATGAGTTCTTTGCGTACGTACATGCATCTAGAAGCGACCTGATAATGTCAGTACGTCCGTGTTCGATCGCTGTGCGAATGTTCTCGCAGATGCCTTGCATCTCTGCTCCGCTCTCCGGGTTCGGCCTGTGGCTGCGGGTACAGTGGATCAGGTCGACGCGTCGCTAGATGTCATCGGACTGTCATTCCGCTGTCAGCTGTCGGAAATCACGCCGGTCACATCGTCAATCACACACGGCATAGGCAGTGGCACGACGCTAGCGTCCACACGTACCTCCACGCATCACCGGTGCACGTCGCGCTAGCGCATGCGCATGTTACAGTCAGTGTCACCATAAACTACAAATTTTTGCAAACTAGCAAAAATTTTTTTTGGCTTCGTCGGTTCAACGGCTCCGAGTAGGAATCTGTAAGAATACAAATAAAATTCGATTTAAGAAAATATTTATGAATGAAGATTAGGAATTATCCGATATAAATTGCATTATTTTTTAGGAAAAACGTCATATTTTTTCCTGCGAGGAAAACAGGACGTAGAGTTGAGTTCCCTAGGAGGCACACAGCTGCTTCTCTCCCCTATAACTCGTCGCGGTGTCAACAATGATGTTTGTTCGCTCGCCCGCAATGTCTGCATACAAATTTGGCAAGAGATAATCTTTCTGCATTTCGTCGCATGACGTTGCTGGTGCATAAAACGGAGAAGGAACAGTCTGGCGAATGTTTTTACATTTTGAACCTCGAGGGGAAAGAGTTGAAGATTCAACGCAGCCAAGACGTATTGAAAATCCCTGGTTCTGCATCAAGACAGTCCATTCAATTATGATAGCCATGGAGTTGCTGTTTGGAGTACAAATAAATTCCGAAATGATCATGCCGTTTACGTTGAGCGGTGTAAATCTAAAAACGAAAATCGAGACGCTAAAACAAGAAGCTGCAGCACGATGGAATCTGCCTAAAGACTCGTTTGGTAAAGATGACTTTGCACTATTTGAAGACCGGTCTTTGTTCATACAGAACCTTTTTTTAATCTTAACATCAAATTCTTTGAATTACATTGAAAATATGTATTAAGGCATTTGTAATCTCGAAAAGCCTTATTGAATGACTTTATTTTAAATCTCTCTTGGAGAAAGATCAACTCCAATTTTATTAAAGATGCAATTAAAATCTAATCTATTTGAAACTATTCTTATAGAATAATATTGAATAATCTTTAATATAAATACCAATTATTTATTTCTTTTGTTTTCTATAGAATTTATTTATTGTGGGCTTATACTTGAGGATGATACAACAGTAGAATCAATTGGATTGAAGAATGGATCAATGGTGCATGCACTGAAGAAGAAGGAACCAGAATCATTAATATTAAATAAACATATATCAGAAGACTGCATATTACAACTAGCATCAGCATTTAAATCTTTCAATGAGACCCCTGCATTTAGAAGTGCTCTGCATGTAATTATTGCTTCAATAATACATCTTTATTATATTGTTAAGTTATGTTATTAATGTCAAGTATTATTAGCTGTATAAATAAATTAATATATATTTTTATATTTCAGCGTTTAAGCAAAAGACCAGAAGTAATAGACAATATTATTTCTTCCTCTCCTGGATTGCACGAGGATGCTGTCGCCATTGCTATGCTGCAAGATCCTGATTTAATGGCACATTTCGTAGATGTTGACACTGTCAGAAGGTAATTAAGTATATCATTCTAATTTGTATCGCTTTCCATATTCAGAAATTATATGCAAATATTTCTCAAAAAAATACATCTTCACTTGATATTTCATTTGTAGCATTTACATCAATTTTTTCTGTTGTTTCATATATTCAGAATTGCAAAACTGCATCCAGTGTTAATCGAGGCGGCGCAGAACATCGCCGCGGCCGTACATGAAGAAGCACATAATGCAGCTTCCAGTGGTTCCTCCAGCAGTTCAGTGGCCAGTTCGCAGCCCGCTACCGCACGATCTTATAGCGTGGATAGCATGAGCCTCGAGGAGGAAATGGCACGTGATATTGCCCATTTTTTCGCCACACAACCTGTAAACGATAGCAATCTCCGCTTTCCTAACGTACCGTCAGCCGCGAATTCGCAAGCACCGCAACGACTGGACAATCCACCGTCTTCCACATCTGATGGTGCCAATCAATCCACGATCGACAATCAAACTACCGGTGTGATCACGTCGCAGATGTTTATGGAAGCTATGAGACAAGCCGCTCTGGCGACCAATCCAAATTCGCAACAGCCAGCTGCATCACCTGCATCTTCCTTGTCGCCGGTATTACCGCTATTTTCGCCGCCGATCAACGATTTGCAGCGACAGTTGGCGCAGATGCACGAGATGGGTCTTCAGGATGACACAGTGAACATTCAAGCACTGCAGTTTACTAACGGCGACGTACAAGCGGCCATCGAACTCGTGTTTAGTGGTTTCTATGATAATTAATGAACAGGAATGGAACAAGGTAATATAAGTGATTACAGTTGCTTGTACAAAGTAAAGAGACTCAGAAAACAGTATTTTTTAGATGAGACAATCTGAATATCCGTGACACATTTATATACAATAATAAGAATTAATATCATGAATAATCAATATGAAGATGTGTAAAATATGAAAATGTGTTCAAGCTGTTTATGTGAAATTTATTGCTTGACTTGAGGAAGGCTGTATATGATTTTTAAGGTATATTCATTGCTATCGGTATTGCTAATGCAAGATCTGAGCATGATAAAATACAATATACTATTCGTTATTAACATTTATGCAAAAAATATATATAAAGAAATATATAAAAAATATATAAAGAAAATACATATGTATATCAAGAAAAATGTATTTAAAGAAATTCTACACTTGCTAAATATTGTGTATAATTTTTTTATTTAAATTATCTCTGATGGTTTTACATTTATGTATGTTATTTAAGCGAAATTGACTTTTATTTATTTTCCATATACTATTTAAGCCATTATAATATAAATTGATCCAAGATATTTCGTTACATGATTATAATTGTCTTCAAATTCTAATCATCGTTTGATACATAATTTATGGAATTATTATCTTTCATTTTTTTCGTGCCTGTATCTAGATAACTGATTTAATATAGTACAATAAATTGTGTAAAACCATCAGGGATTTAACTGAAGTTTAATATATTTTAAAAATCAACGCAATTATACATATACATATATACATACATACATATATAAACATTGATAAGATTTTTCTTTTTTCAATGTCGATATCGTGATTTTTAAACATGGGATATTAATCGTTTAAATTTTTGTCAAACATTTGTGTGTACATAAGAAAATTTTGCTTCTCAGATCGCGAACCAAGATTTAAAAATATAATAGTACCCTTTCAGCATATGCGAGCCACGTGGAATGACGCTTCAGTATGTATCGATGCCAAATGCTCGGAATGAATGCGTCATGCGTGTCAGCAGTGATGTAGCGGTTAACGCGAAATCGAATGCGTCGTGAAAATCTATGCGTATGTGTCACATATTTAAGTACCAACGAGTCATCGTTTGAGAATCTTTAAAGTCTTAAGTAGCTTATTTACAAATGACGTTATATTGAGATTTATCTGATTATATTTACACGATCTTAGAACAATTAAATATGGAAACGAAATTATGATAATTATTAATATTAAATTATATTAGCAATAATTATCTATCAATAATATTAATAATCTCAATTATCTTAGACAATCTATAGAAAATTATTGGCTTTATAAAGACAGAAAATTAAAATGAACAAAATATTTTTATATTTATTTTATATTTATTTATTTATTATCAGTTAGAAAAAATACTAGAAATTATTTAAATCTATTTGGAGACGGTTTGTCAAATAATGATTAAAACGTCCTCTTTTCTAAAATTGACCTAAATTACCCCAGTTTATTTTTGTCGCAGATATATGCGGCATCTACTCTATACATAGCACCCTGAACGCTGTGAAAGTTCACGTAAATCCTCGACGAAGACATCTTATGCTGTGTCTGCAGATCGTGTAAACAGCGAGTCATCATATTGCAGGGATAATTTCGACCGCAGCTGCATCTGCGAGAAAAGGGGTGCAACGTCCGCGTGTTACAATACTGTACCGGCGGCATGCGTTAGTGCGTGTGCCGATCCGCCGGCCGGTCCCTGCTTACGCATTCGAGCGAGTCGAGCGTCGCGAGGCTCGAGGTAAAGGGGATTTGTAACCGTCCGTCAGTAGGAATCGGGATTTCGCGTAGCTCGGACGTACTGGGCGTACGGCTCTCCATCATTTGATCGCGAGTGACAAGAGCAGCACGTGCTCGCGACGCTGGCGTGCACGCGCGCGCGCGCGCGTCTATACATATTGACACACACGCATACCTGACGCACACGTGTCCAGTGCTGACCCTGCCAATCGGAGGCCGGTTGCAGGAAGAGGAAAACGCCGCGGAAAATTGTCAATCGGCGTCCTATTATTTTCGGCACGATGATCGGATTTTCGAAAAGCTCTCTGGCTGGTTAGAGCCAGAACGAAAAGGACGAGATACATATTTCAGTAGGAGCGAAATAAACATATTGACATCGCAAGAGGTTATGAGGAAGTCGAGGATTTGACATTCAGGAAGAGGATTATATCTGTAGAACTACTAGTTTAGCGAAAAGTTTAACGAAAAGGTGAATCTGGTGACAGCCAAAGAAGCGAACTTTTTGCCGCGTGTGAACGCTAAATATGGCCCGCAATCTCGAATTCTATTTCATAAATACACCACATTGCTTTTTAGCTTTCCTCTCTGAGCATTTCTGTTCCATTTACAAATTTTATGCCCGACACCGAGGATTTCCTCGGTTCGCCGGTGACAGAAAACCAGATGACCAGTTTGGATCGGCCGCGTTTAGCGTCGAATGCGCGGCGAGAATGCGGTCCCTCGATTTCGCCGGGACGGGCGAGCCGTCTGCGGCCAAACGAGCCGGTCGCGTGCGAGAGCGAACGCGTGGAAGCACAGGGCCGGTTTATAAAATACCTTCGGCGATCCTCCCTTCTCATCTTTTCCATTAATCGATCTTTTATTTCTTTATTCGCTTTCGTTTTATAATATCAAATTCTGACAGATGATTATGAACAGTTTTGTTTGAGACTATTCTTTTGTTGAATCATTATATTGTAGATGAGAAAAATTTATACATAGAATTTCCGTCCTTAGAATTTTTTTCGATTAACAATGTAAAGTAATATAAATTGATATGAAAGCTTTTTTGGGAAGAGGAAAAACAATTTGATGAAATTCATGCGATTAAATCATTAAAACTATGCGCGAATATATTATTTTTTTTAATTGCCATCCGTTTTTATTATCCGACGTTGAAAACGGTGATGCCTTTTGCTTTTAGCCTTGCACGGCCCTGCATGGAAACGTTTGCATTCGCTATAAAGGCCGCGGCACCGTTTGCGATCGGTCGGCATTGCTAAGTGCACCGACGATTTTTTAAAAATCCGTCCGCCTCTTCTGCATTCTCTGCTCCGCGAGGCAACTTTGCGTATAAAGCGATTTTTATCTTATATTTTGTTTAGTCTCTTACATTTTATTTAACGCGACTAAAAAAAATATATCATTTATTGGCCTCAAAGGAATTTATAAAGCTTTCACTTTCTATGCCTTATACTTCATCCTATCATCAATCTTCATTTAGAAGTTGAGAGAAAACGTAAAAGTAGAATGTGCTCCAAAATCTAGAATATGTTTTAATTAGATGAAGTAAGAAGTAAAATATTTGTTGACACTTGTTAAATAAATTCAGCAATTGCAAGAAATCACATTTCTTTCCGATTATTTGGAAATTATATAAAAAATTGAAAATCTATCGCATTAATTGCAGATCGACTTCATGAAATTATTTCGTAATTTTATTATAAGAATATTAATTTTCTTATATTTAAAATATAATAAACGCTGAAAAAAAATGTTCGCAAAATCATGTAAGATGTACGCAAAATGTACGCAAAAATCAGACTCGTTTCTAGAAACCGAGCATGATCTTTGCAAGAAAGCAAACTCTAAGGAGTAAATCGAAAATCCATAAAATCGTTTCGCGAAATAGAGAGCATTCAGCTTTCGTTTATAAATACGAAATTCAAAGAAGCGAAAGGCTGCGAAATCGCTACGTAGAACACATAAGACAGGGATCTTAGATTGTAGAAACAAAATTCAAAGTATTGGTCTGCCTACGGCGATTACGAACTTTCAAAAGAGATAGTACTTGGTGACGAGCAAAGAACAAATTAATCTTATAGTCCTATCTTACTGGAATGTCTTATCCATCTTTGAACTAATACTTTATGTGTTTAAAATTGATTAAAATATTAGTCACTGTGAAATGTTTATTTTTCAAAATTAAGGATTGTTACTTTTGTAAATTATGTACTTTCACTATTGTAGCTCTGTAACTAAGCTAATTATGTTCGCGATAAAATTTTTCACATTGCTTTGATTTTTTTTTAACTTACAGTCTCGTATTAAATTAATTTATAAATTGTAATAATTAAAATTTGATAAGGGATGATGAATACTGTGCAGAGAATCAATTCGTTCAGAGCCATTACTACTAGTGAGAATTTCGCGGTCGAATCGTTGGGATAAGCGCGATTCTTATCTTACCTAATAGGAAATGATATGATAGGCAAAAAGCGGTAGTGGTAGCCGAGAATAAAGCAGATTCCATTGAGTTTCTTGAACGTCTCTATCTTCCTGAAGAGAAACGATATTTCTTCAAAGTTTTTCGAATTTTTCGAGTTTTTCGATTTTTTCTCACTAAAGATACAATCCCTGATTGTTAATTTATTTTATATAAGACTTTAACATCGAATTATTAAATGTGTATCAATTCAATAATACTGAAATTACAACAAATTATATAATCTATGCTCCAGTAGACTTTTCAAAATTTCATTATTTTTTTTCTGCAGTAAAATTATACAATCTTGCAATAAAAGTGGTTTGAATGCAAAGGATTAAATTATTAAATTATTAAGGATTAAATTATTCGTTTGTTTTGATCGATAATAATTTATCGTAACACTGTAATGCAATGATGAAGACTCATCAGTAAAAACATTTCTCGTAAATTTCGATAACGGCCAGCTGATGAACTCGTGACGCTTCGCTGCTTCGAGATGAGTACTTCCGTGAAAAAAAAAAAAGAAAAAATACGAGCACAGACATGCATCTACAAAGCTCACATGGCTCGGATTTGCATTTATGTGAAAGTTTACAGTTTCATCGAGCAAATGATGATTTTAATTGTAAATTACTAAGAATAGCACAGCATCAACATGCGTTGGGTTATTTTCTCTTAAGAAATTACCGGGTTGACAGTCTCAATCAGGATATGCCAGGAATGTCTATTGTTTAGGTCGTATTGTTCATAATTTATATGTAAATAATTCTGCCAGCGTCATCGGCTGCAGATTAATGCGCTTTATTTTACGCGCTGCGTTTTCCTTTTCTCCGTTGCAGCTGCTTCTCTTTTTGCAGTTCTAAGTCTTCGACATCTCCCGTGCTAACATTGACTATAAAGTAACGGTTAACGGTTGAATAACACCAGTTTGAGCTCACCGCAAACTGGTTTATTCAAATTCGAACTGAGGCCGGTTGATAGGTGATGCAGAATGAGAGCGCGCGATCCAGAGACGGTTTAATAAAGATTCCTGTTAATTAAGTATTTGGATTTGAATCCAAATGTAAAAACCGGTTTAAACCACTCCTTAGCGGAATTAACATTCAGTTATGTCACATCAAAATCCTTTACAGGCTATTAACATACATTATTAAACAATATCTATTTTTATATGTGATGAAATAGAAATAATTAACCGACAGTAAAACGATATTATTGGTTAATCAATGATCTTTAGGACTAACAATCTTTAATTTTAGAAATCTATTATTGTTGTTTAAATTTAAAAATTTTTTATAATCTGGTATAAAATTTTCTGTCGCCGAATATCTCTCTGAAATCGATTAAGATTTAACGCGCATATTGTTAAGGAATACGAAAAGACATTAGATATTCTTCGCACATCGCCTATACTCAAACAATGATGATTCGAAAATCGTCTCTATCTGAAAATTGCGGATGCAGCTCGTAATACATTAAAGTAATTTTCGACGAGTAACATATTTCATTGTCTGCCATCAAAGTCTGCAAAGGAATCGATACGCTAATTCGTTCAAGAAAATCCAACACTGAATCCATGACATTACGAATTTTTCAGTTTTTGTTCAGTTTTCTTCTAATCTTTCAGGAATTTCTTTCTGAGAGTTTCTGGGGGAATTTTTCTAATGAACAAATAATCCTTTTATCTGCCTCTCGAAAATTAACTTGGAAAGAATTCCAATTTCCAACGTCGACTATGTATAGAAGTACGATCGCACGACTCAACAGTGAATGTCTGGCATCGCATCGCGGTTTTTAATCTAATTCTCTCTTTTTTTCCAATATCTATCAAATTGTTCTTTTTTTTTTCTTTCAATCCACCACAAGCAAATTGCTGATGATTTATTTCATGCGATTTGCGACTCGCGGGCGCCGCGACGACCTTAAAATCGACGACAATATCCCGCGATCGTGTTAATAAAGAGGCGCCATTGACAAAGGCAAACAATTCGATCTCGCGCACATTTCGGGGATTGTTTGCTTACGCGCCATTTACTTAGCTGCTTTAATTAAGACATAGTCGCGGTATTCACGTATTTCGTCAATGCGGTGCAAACAATCGATGCGATTGGTATAATGAGGGAAATACGTTGACGCTCACAATTATAATACTCGGAATTATGCGAGGATTAAATTGAGATATTATCGGCAATCTGTCGAATTAATTAGTCATGGTATTCGTGCGTAGTTGTCGATTGACGTACATGTGGAATATCACGCGTGTTATTAGTATGTTATCATCGATTGGTGGTGTGTCAGATGTCGTAGCGATGTGGTTTATAGTGGATCGTGTGAGTGATATATGTTGCTTTCGCGTAAAGAAATTTAAATTTATTTATAAAAATATTTGTAATTTATATCAGATCAAAAGTTAAGTATTAAGTATTTTAAGTATTTTATCACGTAAAAGAAAAAGATTTATTATTTTAAATCATATGAAAATGATAATTCTATCGTTAGTTAAATTTTGGAGTTTTTGTAGAGAAGGAAATTAAGAAATTTTTTTTAATACATATAAAATTAAATGATTACAAATTCTATTATTTATATATATAGTATATATATATATATATAGTATATCTTTTTTATGTCAATTGTATTTTTAAAAGAAAACAAAAATTTATCAAAGAGTTCCCTGAGAATGACTTGTAACGTTCGAGATTGCAGAGGAATGACTTGTATTTGTACAAAGAATGCATATAGCACAGATCCTTATATATCATGATTAAGGACAAGGATAGATTACTGGCTTTGTAATCGCTGCGGTGATAATGATTCGATAGGAGTCTAACTTCCGGAAAGCGCTGTCACATGTGCATCTGTGTGGGAATGAGGCGATGTGTCACGGATGCGGAAAACGACCGCATCCAAACGTCTGTTTGTTCGGTAATTAGGCGAACTTAAACGCATTAAACTCCATCAGAGACTGGAGATAATCCACGGGGGCGCATAAGCAATGTTATAGGGCAAGAGTAATTTCATAATTGGCACACCCACGCGCGATTAATAGTCGCGAGGTGGGCAAGGTCAACACAATGTCTTTAGTCTACGTCTGCTCACCTTGAACCTTTTCGAGGAAAGAAAGAAAGAAATTCTTTTGTCTCAGATCTTCCTTTCTTAGAAAATCTATTCCTAGGAAAAAATTAATTTCATAAAAAAAGAACTACAGATCGCAAGGTATATTAACTTTTTTTGCATTGCTTGAGTATTAGATAATTTTCAGTAATGAGTTTTTATTGATGACACATAGTTAAAAATGTGTTGGTAGAAAATGATGTAATTTTAATTGACTTTTGTGATATATTATGTGTAGGCTATTCCGAGAAACTTTATCTTAAAATCGAACGCGTGTTATAGCTAAAATTGACATTTTAATATCTTGTCAGAAATATTCCTATGACATCGCTAAAATTATATTTCTTTATATTTCTAATATTTTCTATATCAAAATATTTTTATAGATTTTCAAATACTAATATATACATTTTATGTATATAACGAGACTAAAGCATATTTGATTAAGCCTTATCGCTATGTTGTTATCAAATGCTTGCATGCTCCAATTGTTAACAGGTGTGGCATAGTTCTTCATTTTTTAGCTATCACAATTATATGGTGATGAATCGATGTAATAATTTATAATGTTAACATGTTAATTTATAATGTCAAACATTATCGATATTCCAAAGTATGCTATTTTATAATAATTTTTTTTTAAATAACATTTCAAAATAAGTAACAATTGAAGTCAACGAATATATCTCGTAAAATAGCTTTAGTTATGTAATTTTAAATGTAATTTTTCATTCAACATAACAATGTACAGTTGATACGGTAAAAAAAGTGATATCTAGATATAACAAAAAAAAAAAAAAGAAAAGAAAGAATAAATATAACTCTCGAATAACGATTGTCGACAGGTGACCGTGCCGGGTATTATCAAGCGACCGCTTCGTGAATCGATAAATTCCCGAAGAGGAAACCGAAGAGAAATTAGATTGCCGTTTGATCGACCATTGTATCACGGGGCCACTCGAGCTATTGCATCGCAGTGCGGTTTCTGACATAAATCACTGTGCAAGCAGAAGAAAAAGAAGAAGAGAGAACAGCAGAGACATGGCGCACGAAAACGGGATAAACGGCGGCGATACCGACTCGGAGACGGTGGAACTGAATCCTCTGAGGAGAACCAGATTTCACGTGAACCGGGTCGACAGTCTCGAAGGTCGGGCCAGTCTCCTGGGAGAGCAGGAGACCAAGAAATCCCTCAGATACATGACCAGGGAGGCTTTGCCCAGGCTAGACAATTACAGGAACATCATGAGCATCCAGGCGGCGCACAGGCCTTCCCTGGACGAGTTGCACAATCCCACTCTCCTCAACAAGGTAAGGCCTTAATGACTTCTCCGAAGGCAACATCGTTCGCGCGAATCAAACATCCCTTCATCATTGCTAAAATATGGTTTCGGGACGCTCGTAAAGTCCGGTGTGGATTTTTTCTCGGCACAAAATTTCGCTTGGAAATTAACACGTAACATTTCTTGCATTTTATGTTATTACGACGCTACTCTCTTTCTTTCATCATTCGTTTACATGGTAGACTAAGTTTATCTATGCGAAGGAAGTAAACGTTTGCGAACGCCGTACAGCATGCCGCAGCATAAAATGATTACGATATCGTCTAGAATTTTATGTGATAAGTTATTTTATATATTTTATATGACGACATAACGGAAGGTTGCGACAAATGTTAATATTCCACTGATTACGGTAGAATAATAAAGCATAAAGTGCAAGATATTACTGATAATATCCAAATTGTATAATGATAACATTGCGAGGAAAGTTCATATATTATGGGTCGTGTGTTATGATTATCCGTTCAGCAAAATGTGTAAAATTGATATTTCTTTTGACGTATGGAGATTTCACGATAAAAATGTGCCAGGTCAGCAGAGATGAGAGTCGAATTGCATAATGAGTTTCTCGGAAGGATGAAGTCCGGTCGAGACAAAAAATTCGAGAAAGCCTCACGGTAAAAGGCAGATGGACGCACACACACATATGTATATACAAGCACCAGATAAACGCGAATCTATCAATACACGTCGAACGAATCCTTGAAGATAATGCATGCGTTCTCGCATACTCTGGCATTCACCCGCTTCTCAATTTTTCACTCGTTATCTACCTCCCTCTCCCTCCCCCCGTTATCTAGCCCCGCGCTCGCGTTCGCGTAAAATGAATATCTAAAATTAAACTGGAGTCTTTCATGCGGGCTGTGTTTGCTATCGGCTGCGTGTGATTGCAGTTGGCTGTTTCTGAAGTAGACACGTGCTTCACAAGGTGGTTTAGGAAAAACCATTTTAGTAAAGGCATAGTCGAGTTGCAATTTATCAATAATTCCTATTCAGCAAGAAATTTTGATTTATTATGAAATTATTTATTACATTAATTCAGATGAGACGTACCCACAAATTTATTTTAATTTATTCATTTTTTAATTTTTAAATATATTTTTGTTCAAGTTTGGAGAGTAAGTTTTTAATAAAATAAACTCTTATTTATGTTTAATTAAAATTTTTATTATTAAAAATCGCAATTAAAATTGTTCTAATTAAATAGAAATTTTCCTTTTTTTGTTATCATTGATGTCTCATTCTTTTCCTAGAAATATCTCACGTATACTCGTATAACGAGTATGTTTAACGCATACAGTGCGTAATACGATAGCGCAGCACGTGCATGCCCCCTTCTTTTTGCCAGCATGGTTGACACGCGGTATTAATTACGTTCGCTCGAATGATTCGTAAATCATCGCACAATTACAGAGATTGTTAATTGTGCAATTAACCCGCCGCTGAACGCAAGCGTGGCGCCGAGATTCCGTCTCGTGGTGACGTCCCCTCGTTGGCAAAACCCGGTGGAAAAGTTCTCGGTTTATCTCTTCGACCAAGTAGGAATAGAAAACGTGATACGGCGAACATAAATATGGAACGTACCACTGAATTTTTATTGCTTTACGTGGTGATTCGTCGTCGACAACATGTCTTTACGATGCCGGGGCACCGTTATCAAATGGTGTAACACTGCAATGCGACGTCAAATATTTACGGTGACTACTTTCAAGCACGTTTGTATTTTCAGGAATATTGTTCCAGATATACGATCCATGAATATTGCACTAATTGCAGCTGCACCGATGATCAAATCTAAACAAGTCTAATCTCTTATTTAACGTTACATATCTTTCTTATCTATTAGACATTCTTTTTATATTAGGGTTCATCGATATAACATATAGATCCTTAAAACTTAATTCACAAATTAAAAAAATATATTAATAAATTATTAAAAAATCATGACACAGATTAGTTAATTAAAAATGTGACAAATATTTCTAGAATTATTAATTTAACTAAAATTTATACCTCAATTTTCTAATAACTTATTAATATAGTTTTTCATCTGGATGTTTTGAAGATCTTTTTCAATTCTGAATGCCATTGTACCGATGTTGTAATAATTACAATTACAGACTGCATTTTTAAATTAACACGAATAGAAAAAATTCGTTACCTAAATTCGTTACCTTCCAACGCGCAACTACTTTTCAGTTATGAATTAGTCCGATACGCCCAAAAGCGTTATCCAAGCGTGAAGCAAATGTCGATTGTCCTCGTGATTGTCCTCTACTTCACTATACGAAATATAATGTCCGATTTCGTTTCCGGGTAATGCCCGGAGGAATTTTTATGTCCTCAGCAATTAAAATTCTTACAAAGCAAGACTAACGCAGGCATTTATTTATCTGATACGTGATAAATTTCGTGCTACGGTGCATAAAGTGATACGATCGCATTTTACATATTTTAAATTTCTAAAGCTACATATTTATCTTTCAAAATGATTAAATAAATTTATTTGATAATTTAATTGATAAATAAATATATATATACTTTATTTATCAAATGTATATGTATATGTATGTATATTTATCAAATGTATATGTATGTGTACACACACACACACACACACACACACACACACACACACACACACACACACACACACACACACACACACACACACACA